ACCCTGTCAACGCACTGCCATGGAGCGACCTTAGCAGCAGCCAAACAAAGTCGCCGTGGGAGCGATGCAGCTATGCGCGCAGAAACTGATGTGGCGACGTGTAGTGACGAACCGAAAATGTACCGGGCCTATTCAAAGTATCAATCGCTCCGACCATTCACTCGTATACTTTGGTAGCATGGGTTACAGTGCCAATGCATGTAACCCTTTGTAGAGAACGTGAAGATCTGTGGGAGTGGATCCGCCTGCGGAGCAACCTTGGAAGGATGCTGACGTCGACCGTGCTACTACCCCTAGCTTGAGACATTCGACGCGCAGCCAAAGACGGGAGCCATCTTGTCCATGTCAAGCCACTTTGCAGCGGCGAGCGTTGTTGTGCATACGGCAATCTGCAGAGTGAAACCAAAGCAGATGTGGGCATAGTGGCTGCGCAGTATGTGCCCGGCAACAGCGAAAAGGGTAGATTCTGGGTGAGGCTGAGCAGGTATAAGCGTGGAGCTGATTAAGGCCTGTCTCTAATTTTAGCCGTCGTGGCCGGTCTAGCGCCACACTGACAGACGACGGCGACTGCCATGTGCTCTACTCGTGTGCTTCACCGCCAGCAGGTTTTCCGTCGTCGGTGAATTCAAGTAGAGGCGATTGCCCGTTCTTGTCGAGACAGTCCCACGAAAGTACTTTCGTTAAAGGAGCGCCCGCCTACAAGCTGAAACCTGGCAGCACTTGGAGTCGACCAATAAGTCGTGTTTCAGCGCGGCCGTTTTCCTAGCGCAACCCTCCCCATCCCGCTCCAAGGGGTATAGCGCGCGTCCCTTCAGCTTTCTCAGGCCTGAAGCGCCCCAGACATTCCATCCACCTTTATCAAGCGACACCCCGAGTTGTGCGCTGACTACTTTTCTCTATCTCAACACTATCCTTCTCTACCGCCTATTCCTTTTTCTCGAAAACATCGCCATCTGCAGCGCCGGCCCGTGGACTGCAGCACGTCATGGCGTACAACAATAACCAAGGTTATAACCTTGGAGACCCCAACACTGGCGTAGGCGCCCCTGAACCCGCAGGCAGCAAAGGCACCGTATACTGACAGCTACCCAGTACGACCGCCAGGAGCATGACGACGAAGTTGGTCGCTCGCTCTTGCACGAGAACCCTACCGGCGCCCACTCAGACCCTTTCTACGGCAACCCTGAGGTCCGCCCACACTCGACCTACAGCTTGACCGAGTCGTATGCCACCGACAGGCCAACACAATACCCCGGCCAGGCCCACGACGGCGCTGCCTACTCGGCGACGGGCGGTTACGACGCCCCGGGCGACTTCGGCGCTCCTCAGCGAGCTCCATCACCATACCAGAGGAGCGAGACCAGCTCAACCGAGGCATGGAGGCAGCGACAGCAGCCCGGCGGAGGTGCTGCTGGTGGTCTCAAGCGTGGTATGACACGTAAGGTCAAGCTTGTTCAGGGCTCCGTCCTGAGTGCCGACTACCCCGTGCCTTCGGCCATCCAGAACGCCATCCAGGCCAAGTATCGCAATGACCTCGAGAGCGGCAGCGAGGAGTTCACACACATGCGCTGTAAGTCTTCCATTCTACCCGACTTTTCCGTCCGCCTCTAACAGCTGCAGACACGGCTGCGACATGCGACCCCAACGACTTCACCCTCAAGAATGGCTACAATCTGCGTCCTGCCATGTACAACCGTCACACAGAGCTGCTCATTGCCGTCACCTACTACAATGAAGACAAGGTTCTTACCGCCCGTACTCTGCACGGTGTCATGCAAAACATCCGCGACATTGTCAACCTGAAGAAATCCGAGTTCTGGAACAAGGGTGGCCCAGCCTGGCAGAAGATTGTTGTGTGCCTGGTCTTCGACGGTATCGACCCTTGCGACAAGGGCACTCTCGACCTGCTCGCCACCATCGGTATTTACCAGGACGGTGTCATGAAGAAGGATATCGACGGAAACGAGACTGTTGCCCACATTGTAAGTTTGCGTCGTCATCAATCTCATCCTTTCCAGCTAACAAGCCAAGTTTGAATACACCACGCAATTGTCCGTCACGCCCAACCAGCAGCTCATTCGCCCGCACGATGATAGCGCCAGCACGCTTCCTCCTGTCCAGATGATGTTTTGCTTGAAGCAGAAGAACACCAAGAAGATCAACTCGCACAGATGGCTTTTCACTGCCATTGGTCGTATCCTGAACCCTGAAGTCTGCATTCTGCTCGACGCGGGTACAAAGCCTGGACCCAAGTCGCTTCTCGCCCTCTGGGAAGGTTTCTACAACGACAAGGATCTCGGTGGTGCTTGCGGTGAGATTCACGCTATGTTGGGTAAGGGCTGGAAGAACCTCCTCAACCCGCTCGTGGCCGCACAGAACTTCGAGTACAAGATCAGTAACATTCTCGACAAGCCGCTAGAATCCTCCTTCGGATACGTGTCTGTCTTGCCTGGTGCTTTCTCTGCCTACCGATACCGCGCCATCATGGGCAGGCCGCTCGAGCAGTACTTCCACGGTGACCACACACTCGCCAAGATTCTCGGAAAGAAGGGTATCGAGGGCATGAACATTTTCAAAAAGAACATGTTCTTGGCCGAGGATCGTATTCTGTGTTTCGAACTCGTCGCCAAGGCTGGCTCCAAGTGGCATCTTACCTACATCAAGGCCTCCAAGGGTGAAACCGATGTTCCCGAAGGTGTTGCTGAATTCATCGGTCAGCGTCGTCGTTGGCTGAACGGTTCTTTCGCTGCCGGTATCTACTCTCTTCTGCATTTCGGTCGCATGTACAAGAGTGGCCACAACCTGGTCCGCATGTTCTTCCTGCACATCCAAATGCTCTACAACATATTCCAAACCATCATGGCTTGGTTCTCCCTGGCTTCCTTCTGGCTCACTACTGTCGTCATCATGTCACTTGTCGGTACCAAAACCGATGATCGGGATGCCTGGCCATTCGGAAACACTGCCACGCCCATCTTCAACGTCATCGTCACCTATCTCTACCTGGCATTCCTGGTCCTGCAATTTATTCTGGCCTTCGGTAACCGTCCAAAGGGTTCCAAATGGACTTACCTGGTCTCTTTCTCCGTCTTCGCTCTCATCCAGTTCTACATCGTCATCCTGTCCATCTACCTCGTTGTCCAGGCGTTCACGAACCCGTCGTCGCAGAAACTCGATACCTCGTCACCAGAAGCATTTGCCAATTCTTTCTTCTCGTCCAGCGGAGTCGGTATTATCATCATCGCGCTTGCGGCTACCTTTGGTCTCTACTACGTCGCCTCGTTCCTGTACATGGACCCATGGCACATGTTCACCTCGTTCCCGCAATACCTGCTCATCATGTCGTCCTACGTCAACATTCTCAACGTCTACGCCTTCTCCAACTGGCACGACGTTTCCTGGGGTACCAAGGGTTCCGATAAGGCAGAGGCGCTTCCTTCTGCCAAGACAGAAAAGGGCGCTGACGGTAAATCCAACGTCATCGAGGAACCGGATCTGCCACAAGCCGACATCGACAGCCAGTTTGAAGCTACCGTCAAGCGCGCTCTTGCTCCTTACGTACCGCCTGTCGAGAGTGACGAGAAGACGCTGGAGGATTCCTACAAGTCTTTCCGTACCCATTTGTGTACGGCCTGGATCGGTTCGAATGCCACTCTTGCGGTTGTCATCACCCAGGATAACTTTGACCGCTTTGGTTTCTCTGTAAGTTTTTGCCCTGATCGCTCTGAATGATCATTACTAACAAAATAACAGTCTAGCGCCTCGGGCAGAACCGCGCATTTCTTCCAGGCCCTTCTGTGGGCTACCGCTGCTCTTGCTATTGTCCGTTTCATCGGATGTGTTTGGTTCCTTGGCCGTACTGGTCTCTTCTTCTGTGTTAGGAAGAGGTAAATGGTCCCCAAGCCACCATCTGGTCAAACCAACAAGCCTTGACGGCAACGGCCAGACCTTTGCATTTCCCCCATGCCTTCGATTCCCACTTAATCATGTTGGCGTTTCTTGGTGTTCCAGCGCGAGCTAGGAGCTACGTGGTCTGTTTAACACAACAAAAATACCTCAAGATCATGACCTGCCATTGTACCATCTTGTACTGAAATGTTTGGGGGGGTTGTCACATTTTGCGAAACTATTATGGGAAATGGAGGAGATATACCGTATATCACATTTGCACGATTAGCTTTTGCTCTTGCGGGGTGTTTTTATTCTAGATTGAATACCAGAATATGTTTTTTAACAAAAAAAAAAAGACAAATGCTTCGTCCATTGATCATGTAGTCATTTGTTTACTGGTTTACGTCACACGCTGTGGGTCTGTTCCAATTTCTGCTTCTTTTTTGTTCCTGAAATCCCACCCAAGTATGAGCACCTTTGCTCCATTTCCGCTCCTGTTCTTCTTCAAAAAGAAGACTGCGACTCAATTCGAACTCAGAGCAAACATAGATCGCCTTTATCGACCCAGTGCATACAAGACTGGATCACACCCTGCTCGACAAGGTAGACATGCAGATTTGTACGCTACTAGTTTTTCCGGTTTTCTATTATAAAAAAGGTTGAAGCATTTTATATATAACCCATCATAAAATGTTTTTTGTTTGGATATAGGTGAAGGCGTATTTGTGTGACTGCAGTAGAGTTTTTCCAAGACGTGAGTGCAAATGGGCGGCGAGGTAGGACTTACCTTCACTTTGGCAGGGATATCGGAAGCCTCGACTATACGTAGGTAAAGTCCACGCGTGTGAATTACATAACTTTTTTTTTTGTTTTTTTGCTTGCCGGTCATTCACTCTTCTGTCTTTCTTTTCTTGCGAAATAACGTACGTCACTGACTTCGCTTTTCTCGTCAACTCTTCATGCCTACATGGCACATGACCCCCCTCGTGTTTCCGCACTTTCATCCACCGCTACAACCACTGGCCCAGTAAAAGACCGTATTTGCCTAGTAGTAGGACTTGGCCCTGTTGAGCCGGATGAGTGAAAGCTCTATACTGTCTCTTCGCAGCATGCTTGCCATTAATCTGTTTGCGTTCGAAGTAGGTGGAGTCAAGCTTGTGAAAGCTCTAGACTGTGCGTATCTCTCGGATAGTACTATTGGTTCCAAGTCAAGAGTCAGGGCTGGTGGCGAAGAACAGGAGGAAGAGGAAGAAGAAGGGGAAGGAGAAGAATTCGGTGGGCTGGATGGACATAACGGCGCTGTTGAGGGTGTAGTTGATGTGGTTCGGTTTGTTGCTGATGATGATGAGGTGGTCGTGGGATCTGTTGGTAACGAGACTGAGAAGGCGGAGTTGTGCCGATATGTTCTTTCCTTCGTCTTGTCCAAGTAGAAGTTTTGGAGGAAGACGTTGAACTGGGTTGCTTGGTGAGGTTGGGCCGGAATGTACATGATCGCCTTTTAGGATGGAGGATTTCGTGGAACTGACCGATCTTCTTTGTAGCAGTTGAGATGGTAGAGAGGAGGGTGTTGTTGTTGCCACACTTGAGAGCTTCGTGGTAGACTCCTATGGGATGAAGAAATGGTTGGGATGAAAATAACCCTTGTGAGCATCTAGTAGGTGTTGGAAAAATTATTACTTATCACATTGTGCACTAAATCTCAAGAAATTGTTGGTTGAATATGGTCATGGTTGTGTGTACCGTGGTTCATTTACAACCCGTCCATCTCATCAAGACATTGCACGCAGCCAGGATTCACGAGGCAACCCTAATATTCGCCTCCCAGTCGCAAACAGTTGTCCTCCAACTACCAGTGCCCAATTCAAGCTTGAACTGACTCCTATATGTCCTGCAGCCGTCACAAGGGCCATGCTCTTCCTTGTCGTCTACAACAGGCCACTCAACGACCTCCCATTCTTCGCCGAGTTCCTTTTCGTTATCGGAACGTTGGTCGTCGGTCTTTGGTTCCGAAACGTTGGTATCGTGTGCTTCCACCAAAAGTCAGTCGGGTAAGACGATTTGATGCGTGACTGGACAACTGCGTTACCTTCTTTGCTCATAGGCTTTGAGCCTAATATCCTATTACCTAGGCGAATCTGATACGATAACAGAGACCCTGAGGGGTGATAGGTGCCACCCTGCTGCGACATTGTCGATTAGGGAACGCTACTTTGCCGTGCCTTGGTAGACTATCCGACTTCAGAATATCACACTGTTGATGCAACGTGCATAAAGGACAAGGCAAAAGATTTTTATGATGTTGCAGCCCACTACAAGGCTCCTTTCGATGACTGTCCGTCGGCTGACAATAGTGTTGGTTGCCTGACGGGGCGCAGCCTCGTTACTTCATTCCTGCAGGGTTCCAGAACGGGCAATCATCTGCATCGAAACCCCGGATCTGACGGCTCGCCACAGAACGTGAAGAGAGACAAGTTTCTGGCCCATGATTTCGTTCAGGATAGCCGACTCTAATCTTATTGGCGAAACTCATTCCACCTGAGTTATCCTTGACGAAATCTACTTGAAAGGTATTCTTGGATGCATATATTCATAGCACAAGGAAATTTTAGATGGACTATATTTTTAAGAGACACAATGACGTATGTTGACGATGAACATCCTCTTACTGATAATAGTCGGTATCGTGGTTCGCTATGCAACATCGCAAAGTCAAAATGAACATTATGAAATTTTGTGTCTCTCTCACGCTCGCTCCATCTAGAAGCCAATACGCTATCTTCTCTTCTCGTCACCAGCTATGCAATGCTACACAATTGGGACAATAACGCCAAAAGTGTATATACATACAACAGAACGTCCATCAAGCAAACAATTAAGATAGGGAAACCGTGATATCATATCCTGCATCCATCCATGAGCTTTTTGTGCCCATAACCAAAGGTGAAAGGAATAGCCGCTGACGTCGATTGGAGTGATCGCTCGACCGCGAGATAGTGAAGGAAAACCGCTAGTCAGTCTGTCAAAAAAGTAAGAAAGATATGTCGGAACTGAAATCAACCATCTAGTGCTTGGGGCAGCAGCATACGTGTGGACCACTCTCGATAACCTCCTTGGTGGCCTGGTCTTCGTACTTCTTGAAGTTCTCCATAAAGAGCTTGCCGAGCTTCTCGACTTCGCCCTTGAAGTCGGCGGTACCGTTCCATGACTTGGCGGGGTTGAGCAGCTCATCAGGGACGTTGGGGCAGGTCTTGGGGACGGAGAGACCGAAGGTTTCGTAGGTTTCGTATTCGACGTTGGCGAGCTCGCCGGAGTGAATGGCGTCGAGGATAGCACGGGTGTACTTGAGAGGGCAACGCTAGGGGAATATTAGCATGTGTTCGCATGTATCTGTTAGACAGTCTTGGCTTACCTTGCCGCCTGTGGTGGCACCGGCACCGACCCAGCCGGTGTTGAGAAGCCAGGCGTTGGCGCCGTGTTGCTGAATCTTCTCCGCAAGCATCTTGGCGTAGCGCATTGGGTGCAGGGCGAGGAAGGGTTGAGCGAAGCAAGAGGAGAAGGTGGCTTGGGGCTCGGTGATACCCTGCTCGGTACCGGCCATCTTGGAGGTGTAACCAGAGATAAAATGGTACATGGTTTGCTCGGGGCTGAGCTTGGAGATAGGAGGAAGGACACCGCGAGCGTCGCAGGTAAGGAGGACAATGTTCTTGGGGTGGCCGTCTGAGATGCAGGGGATCTTGGTGTTCTCAATGTACTCGATGGGGTAGGCGCAGCGAGTGTTCTCGGTCAGGGTGTCATCGTCGTAATCAACAACACGGGTTGTAGGGTCAAAAACGACGTTCTCGAGGATGGATCCGAAGCGGATAGCGCCGTAAATGTCTGGCTCCTTCTCGGCAGAGAGACCAATGCACTTGGCGTAGCAGCCGCCCTCAATGTTGAAGACACCAGTGTCACTCCAGCAGTGCTCGTCGTCACCGATCAAGGCACGCTTGGGGTCGGCAGACAAAGTGGTCTTGCCAGTTCCGGAAAGACCGAAGAAAACAGTAACATCCTTTTTCTCGATACCCTCGTTCGCTGACGAATGCAGAGTGAGGACGTTGTGCTTGACGGGCATCTCGTAGTAGAGCACAGTGAAAATACCCTTCTTCCTGAATGATGGCATATAATGTCAGTGCATGCCTCAGAAAGCTCGTGTAGGGGCGTCGCTTACATCTCACCAGCGTATTCGGTACCGAGGATAACCATCTCCTTGTCGGCAAAGTTAAGGGCAACGGATGTTGACGAAGTCATACCACTCGTGTACCTGTTGGCAGGGAAAGCACCAGCATTGTAGATGGTGTAGTCAGGCTCGAAGTGTTCCAGTTCTTCTCTTGAAGGACGGATCAACATGTTGCGCATGAAGAGAGCATGGTAGGCACGAGCGCAGACGACTCGTACGCGTATCCTGTAGCGCTCATCCCAGCCGGCAAAGCCATCGACGACGTAGATGCGGTTCCTGGTGTTAAGGTAGTCGATAGCACGCTCACGGTTGATACGCCAGACCTAGACGACAAGGTTAGCAAATGAAACGAGATGCGCACGTGATGGTCTTCCGCATGGATCGATGGAACTTGATCCGTCATGCAGGCGCAAAGATGCGGGGCAGCCGAGCCCCATAACCGCCAAGTGCAGGGATGTGAACTCCATCGGGTATGTGGCTAGCGTACATGACGTCTGCCGCCAAAATTTCACAAGCCAAACCGCGGTTTGACGTAAGGCAGAAGTTTAAAGGGATTAGGGAATGCGGAGAAGCACTTACGTCGGTCTTCATCGGCTTGTTGACTGGGCCCCACCAGACATCGTCTTTTGACGTGTCTTCCTCGACGATGCGCTTATCCGAGGGTGAGCGGCCAGTCTTTGCTCCTGAGTATGCTGAGAGGGCGCCTGAAGCTGTGATGGCTGAACCAGTCTCATATACGAGCGCATCTTCATAGAGGGCAGCGACTGAAGGGTTGGCGATCTAGTGGACTTGTTAGTGTTGGAATCGAGGTTGATGGGGCAAGCTTACAATGGCTACACGGTCATAGTCGATGTGTGCCTTGTCGTGGAGAGCTTCTTCAATCTCCGTGTGCTCCTTGTTCGGCCTGTGAGGAACATGTCAGTCTTTGTTCACCTATTTCAGGTCAATTGACCTTGGAAAGGCAGGGTCACGCACGCAACGCCGGAAGGATGGAGGTTGGTCTTGTTGACGGTTTGAGAAACCATGGTGTTGGATATGAGTGGAGAGATGGAAGACGAGTGGAAATTGGAACGCTGTTGTTTTGACACCTGTTGACGGGCAAAGTCTTGGGCCAAAGGAGCTGGGCTTGCTGTTCGAATGACGGGGTCCTCGGTAGCTTTAATACCATTCGAAGCCATTCTGACGACGTCGTCTGCGCTCAGTCTGGCAATGCTGGGCCGGGGACAAGCTAGCGCTACTGGAGCTGATTGGGTAATGGTGCGTGTTTGGGTAGTGGGAGTGCCGGTCGGCTCACGAGGGACGAAAATAACGCGGAGCTGGGCACGAGAGCTGGGTGACTTCGGAAGGAGCGCCCGGCAAGTGTAACCACAACCACCAGCTTTATGGCCGATGAATCTTAAGCCGATGCGCATGGATCTCCTATTTTCCAAAACTAGAACTAAAACTAAGGGGAGGTTTGCGGTCACTGTTGTGTCATGGTCGATGACATTTTCGCTGCAACGGAGCCCTCGTGACGATTGTAACGACTGCGTGAACTGCAATGTGCGGGCTGGCATTGGCTGGAAGGGCTGATCGCACTTACCCCACATTCACGCTCGCTGGATGCGGTAAAGGCTCAACGACCTTTCGTCATTGTTTCATTGGCCACATTTCGGCTATAGCCACGTCTTGGCCTATTTTTCGCCGGCATGCGATTGAATCGTAGACCGTGTGATGCTTTTCCGAGGTCTACTGGAACAATTACGAGGTACCTGCGGCAAATGCCGCATACCTCCAACACAGCAACTTTGCGTCAGTACTGCGCGCATCACGATAATCAATAGCAGATAGCGTAGCCTGGCCACAGCGAGGCGGTGCAAGATACCACAGTTCCGGTTCCAGCTCGTGTGCGGTTTGCGATCCACACAAACCCCTGCACGATGATGGAACGCTGTTCGGCTTAGCTCTCGATTTCACAATGCACAAATCAAGCGCCTCGGACGGATGGCACTGATAATCGGAAAAGCTGAGGCATTTCGATGCATCTCACGATGCCTTGTTAAGCCGACTTCTTGCGAGATTGAGTTTGCATGTGTCAAGTGCCGAGCATCTCGAATGCGCGCTGGGTTAATCCCGCATGTCCTTCGACAGCCACGGTAGAGAACATCACATTCATTGCGTCCTCAGACGCCAAGTACAGTGGAAGCTACTGCGTGTTTGTACACATGACAGCTGCGCTGTCAAGAATTACTATTAATTGCTACACCGCTTGAAAATCTCTATACGAATGGCACTATGGTGAACGCTAGAGTCCAGCCTGTACGTACACCAAACCTCTAGCACATGCTCTAGATCCCCAAGAGGCATTTCGCGGGGAATGCACGAGGCGGAAATGAGCCCCACCCTGCGCTGGGATGGGCCGTTCCAAAGCTGCGTGCTAACCCAGCCTTGCGCGTTCCGGCCGCGGGCAAGCTAGGAGTTTTCCGGAACCCGCATCTTCACAGCGACAACCAAGCCATGTCGCTGCACACTGTGCCGAATTCTCTTTTTTTTTTCTGCCTCAAGCTGCGTCGCCGCTCTGTGTCTTCTTGTTCTTTGCCGTCTCCTTCTTTTGTTTGCGCGCCGCTGGGCTGAAGAATGACTTGATCTGGCGCAGGCCGCCCAAGTAAAGCCAAGTGCAGAAGAAGACGACTGCAAAATTGAAGAAGATGTAGGCCCACATAATGCCAAAATCGCGCCAGATGGACTTTGGGAAGACGTTGAACGAAGCTGCGAAGGCGTCGCCCGTTGCGTACTGACAGAACCCACAAGTACCGTCTGGCTGGGCTTCGACATAACCCCCCGCTTGCTGCGCGAATTGACCGGCATACGTCTGACAGTCTTGGCCAGGTGGGGGTGGAAAGATCGCCAACTCGTTAGTCTCGCATCTGATTTCTTGACCTTGAACAAGTAGCGCGAGGAACCCTTCCAGTAGGTACCGGAAAGGCGTCAAATGGTACATCCAGGATTGCCTAGGTCTGCAGTCAGTCTACCTGTTATAAGCAGTTCGTGGACGGAATTTCTTACCAGAATGTGGGTAGTCCGTTGTATGGCACAACTACACCACAGAAGGAGACGATGAAAGTAAAGAACAGCGGCACAAGTAGTGACGCGAGTAGCTCGTTAGGAGCAAAAGAGGCGATGGCCTGTCCAAAGCCTAGATAGAAGACCTCGAAGAGCATGACGAAGAGCCAAACACTCGCCGCGGTGTATGTATCGCGAGGAAAGCCAGGTGGGAAGTACCAGCAGCACCAGTAAATGGTTCCAGCGACGATACGGTATGGTAACTCGCTAAGTATGGTACCCCATACCATCGCCGTCCAGGAGTAGATCTTAGCGCTGCCTTCGCGGGACTCATAGATGCCACGCACGCTGATGAAGCGGGGTTGTAGTTGTTGGATCAGAGGAGGCGCAATAGTGAGGGTCATGAAGATGGAGAAGAGTCGTGATTGCATATCGATCTGACTTTGTCCGAGATTCCAGAAAGTGAAGCCGTTGAACAATCCAGTAATGATGTGCAACATGACCATACCTGATACCTAAATATAGGTGTAGAAAGTCAGTAAATGTCTCATATGCAGTTCGTACATGGAAATGACTTACGTATGGAGGGTCTCGCCAAATCGCCACGAAACTTCGCTTGACAACTGTAAGCCATTGTTGAATGTATGGCATCGCATATTCTCGGTCGTCACGGGCTTCATCGTTCTTCGATGCGTCACGTCTGCTGGCGATGATCTCCTGTATCTCCTTGCCCAGCTTTTCGTTTTCCGGGCTCTTCTCCCAGACGTCACCCCAGTCCTGGCCCTTATAGTCGGGATTACCAGCACCTATAGCCTCCAGCATGTATTCGGCAGGGTTAGTCTTGGGGCCAATCTTCTCAGCGCCGTTATTCTGAAGATACTCGATCAGGTTCTGTGAGTCGTGGCCTAGATCACCAAAATAAACCGTTCTACCCCCAGATTTGAGAAGCAGGAGCTGGTCAAAGTGCTCGAATAGAACAGCACTGGGCTGATGAATTGTGCAAAGAATCGCTTGTCCAGCATCCGCAAGCTGAATCCAAGTCAGTTAGCGGTCATATGCGGTACAGATTCGTCAAACTTACCTTGCGCAAGAACCGGACAATGTTAAAAGCAGCACCAGAGTCCAAGCCAGACGTAGGCTCATCAAGGAACATTAGCAGTTCGGGTTTGCTTGCAAGCTCCACACCGATGGTCAGACGCTTCCTCTGCTCTTGATTAAGTCCATTTCCAGCGGTACCAATAGCTGCTCCAGCGATATCACGCATCTCCAGCAAGTCGATAATCTTCTCAACATAATCGTACTTTTCCTGGATAGGTACTTCTTTCGGTTGTCTCAACCGTGCTGAGAATTGAAGTGCTTCGCGTACTGTCGCCGTTGATTCGTGTACATCCATTTGCTCTGCAAAACCGGTGCTGCGTTGGAAACTATGGGGCAATGGCTTCCCATCGACCAAGAAGTCTCCATGAACGACGCCAAAGTCGATGCGCTGAGCGAGGGTGTTCAACAGTGTCGTCTTGCCGGCACCTGAAGCACCCATCAAGGCAGTAAGCTTGCCAGGCCTAACAAAACCTTGTACGCCCTGCAACAACGTCCGTTCGCCCTTCTCGTATGGAATAGTGTAGGTGATGTCTTGGAATGTAAAGATAGTCTCGTTCTTCGCTACCCCTTCGGCTGTCTTGTCGGTGTCGTCGTTGTCGCTGGAGGAGTGTTTCTCGCTAACTGGCTCACTGTTGCCAGCTTCTTCATCCTTGGGCAAAGTCTTAGTCTCCATCTCCTTCTCAACAGTCTTCGGCACCTGACCGCGCTTGTAGATTGTTACAGCACCTCCACCTTTATTTGGTTTCTGGATCTCCATACCAAACGCGGTGAGTGCGACAAAGAAGAGGAAGAAGGCGCAGATGAAACCAAAGTTGCGCCACAGGTGCGACCTACTGTAGCCAAAGGCTGCCGAGATGTAGTCTGGGCCGGAGACCGTAAGAGATCCAGGCGTGTTACCTTGAACTGCGCAAGACTGATACTGCTCCTGCGCGCCTGGAATCTGTGGCGCGATGAATGGAGGCACACATTGAATCTCTAGATTGTAAAACTCGTTTGCTAGGAGACCTTCGAAACCGTATTGGATAGGGTTAATCCATCTTAGCCATGAAAACCACGGATGCATCTTCGCCGGAGGAATCAGATAACCAGTATATACGACGAGTGCTTGTATGGCAACACCGGTAATTCGAGTTGCAACGTCCAAGGATCCTACCAAGGCGCCAATAGCTCGGAAGAAAGCATACATGGTCATCGTGATGATCCAGAGGAAGAGTAAGCTAATGAAGAATTGAGATGCTGTTCGTTGCAGGTTCGCCATGAAGTACACCACGATATCGAAGATGAAAACCTGAACTAGCACCAGGGGCATGTCGATTAGAGTTTGCGCAATCGCGTAGGCGGCTGGTCGATAGAAAGAGAACGTCTTGTGTTTCAATAGAATAGGCCGGGACTCGAAGGCAGACGTAAGCTCAGCGAGGGCGAGAAGGGCATTGAAAAGAAGCCTAAAGGTTGGTCGTCAAGTTAGTACTCGTCTCATGTAGTGCTTAGCAGGATATGACTTACATGAAGAAGATGACACCACCACGTGGAAACACGCCTTGTGCAGTGTTTGGAAGATTGTAAAAGAGCGATCCGACGATGAGAGCCTGGAAAAAAATACCTCCCCATTTTCCGATGAGAGATTGCGGATCTCCTACCATTACACGGAATTGGCGATCGGTGCAGGCAACGACTTGAGCTGGAAACGAGATCGTAAAGTTCTTCTTCTTCGTAGCCTTGGTGCGGGCCTCGTGACGCTCTTCGGCCTGTCGCTTGGTCTCCTTCTCAAACTCTTCAATCTCGGCAATGTTATCATTGGCTTGTTCGCTGTTGTGGAACGCTTCGCCAAAAGCCGCACCAGTGCGGGGAATGCGGTCCTCCCAGCCTTCCTTGATTTGTCGCTCGTGGTCATCTGTGACGGATGTCAAGAAGTCACTGGTAGTCCAACGCTCGGGTTGAACAAAGCCTAGGTTCTTGAAGTAGTCTGCAGCCTTCTCGGTAGGTCCAAAGTAGCAGCATCGTCCCTCGTGGATAACGAGAACTTTATCGAAAAGGTCAT